GTCAAAAGTTCTTTGAGTAATAATGTAATTTGTTCTCTAGTTCTAAAATCTTGGCAGATTTCTGTTGTAATTTCTTGAAATACTATAATTAGGATCAGAATTTTTGACATGGCTTTCAGGTAGTGTAATTATTCTTAAAATATCTTTACTTAATTTGATTGAAAAATTTTTTTGGTATGACATTTTATTGTTTTTTCCCCTATTTTCCAGACTTTTAAAATTGTTTATAAGGCCTCTTGTTGCTTCATGGTATCAGTAGCTCCTATTTTGTCAATTCCAATTTTTAGGGAGTTATTTTCTTGGATAAGATTTTATATCTTATTCCAAGGTATTGATTATCTTTTTTTTCAAATATTTCTTGTTTATTTTCCTATATTTTTTATCTCATGATCTCATTTGTTGTTTATTTTTAATAATTTTAGATTCATTAAACTCTTGCTTACCTTTTTTCAAGAATACTTGTTGAACCTTTGGCCAAATTTTATATTTGTTTTCTATAGTTAATTTTTGTCTTTCCCTTTCCAAGATATTGACTCTGTCTTGTATACCTTTTATTTTTTTTCCTAATATTTCTTCTACCTCTCTTATTTTACTTTTAATGTCCTTCCTGAACTCTTCCCAAAAGGCTTTTTAGACTTCATACCAGTTCATATTCCCTTTTGAAGTTTCAGATGTGGGTTTGTTGGCAATGCTGTACTTTTCAACATTTCTGCTTTGATCTTCACTGTCCCCATAGTAAGAATCTATGGTACATTTCTTTTTGCTCCTGGTGTTTGCTTACTCTCTGGCCTTTAAAAATTTGAGCTCTCCTGCTGGGGAGCATGGGGCACTGACCCAAGCTTCTTGTGCTGGGAGCACAGGGCCTGGTCACTGGCTTTGTGTACTGGGTCCCCAGATGCTGGCAGTGGAGTTCTGTAGTGTTCTGGCCACTTATCTGGTGTTGGGCTGGAATCAGCAATACTGGAACTCTAGGGGTAGGATTGGGTAGTCTGGCCTCTGGTGGTTGCAAACTCACCCAGACCTTTTGCTCCTTTCTTTGGCTCTTTGCAGTTGTATGCTTCCCCGTTATAGGATGTCTCTCTGCCTGGGGTTTTCCCCCTTGGAGTTGTGCTCCCCAAAGTTCTTCTGAGACACTGGGAGAATTGGCTGCCAAAGAATGCTGTGGCACAGTGGTTTTCTGAGCCTGTTTCCACTGGTTCCCCTGCCCCTACTGAGGCACTTGGGGGTCCTGGTGTTGGTGCTTGCCTGTTCAACCAACTGGGGTTCAGGATCTCCCCTAAGTGTGCTATGGTGGGACTTGCTGCTAGCTTCTTGGACTGTCTCCTCTTTTTTACTGTGTCAACTTAACCAGAGTTAGAGGGACTTTTCATGTTCATCCCCCAAGGTTCCTGGGTTACCACATTGTTGCACCCTATCTTTCTGCTGGTTCAGCTGTTCCAGAGATGTTCCTGGGGTGATATTTTCTGGGCTTTCATAAGTTAAAAAGTGAGGGCAAGAGTGACTTATTTCTTACTTCACCATCTTGGCTCATGGAAGCAGAATCTCTAAATTATATATTTGTTGAAGGATGTCATATAGAGCTTTTGGAGTCATTCTCTTTGTATGAATTTTAATTTAGGACAATTTTGCCGCCTTTTGATAGGATATGGATTTTTTTCTACATTCTTATAGCATCCTTCTTAACTTATGATTTTATGTTCAGATTGTTATCTATTCATATCCAGTGGAAAGGTCTAGCCTTAGCTTTTGCCCTCTTTGTTGCTTCTGCTGCTTTCTTCTTCTATGAAGGCTATTATTCTAAGACCTCTGACTGGGGATCTGTAGTTTGCTGTGCTCCCAAAGTAGTGTGAACTAGGGAAAAGACCATTCACTTCTTTCCTCATAAGAAGCCAGCAAGAGTTTGACCTACTTTCCATTCTAAGCAATCATCTTGTGATCTTGCCCTTATTGGACAAGTATACAGCTGCTGAACTCATATGAGCCCACCGGGAAGCTCTGTAAATTCAAAATGACAGAACTGCTGATTCTCCTTTGTTCTGGAATTTCTACCCTGATTAATGCATTGAGAATGTCAGACTGAGAGCTGAGAACCCATTCATTCCCTAGGCCAGAACTATAGAAATTCAGCTTAAGTATTGCCTACTCTTCGTAGAACCACAAGGTTCTACAACATATGTTTTCCTCTTTGTAATCTAAGCTCTAATCAGTATCAACAATGGATTCCATGAAGTTCTTTGACAATTTGAATTCAGAGCACAGATAGATAGATGGATAAAGAGATAGATAGATAAATAGATAGATAATAGATAGTTATACAATATGTATGTCTGCAAATACACATATCTAGATTTACATATGTGTATGCACACCCATACATACATAAGCTGCCTATAGTCCAATGGAAATTTGCAATGAAAATTGAGTTGAAAAAAGTCATTTTATTTATTTGTTACTCTAAATCTATAGCAATGCATGAGAAAATGTATTACTGATTCAGGTTAATTACAAAATAATGAAGTTATAGGAAGCAAAATATTTAAATTAAAATTAAATTACTAAATATTGTACTGAAAGATACATTCATTTTTAAAATTATTAAAATGTTGTTGTTTTCACTTCAAATATTTTACCAGCATGTCCCAAAATGTATTTTTTTTCCTTTACAACTTTAGTACATACTGGTAGGTGCAGACAACTTTATATATATATCAGTAATTTTGCATGCTCACATTCCCACATAAAGAATCAAGTGTATTTGACTAACTTGCAGTATTATCTAAAAACAGAAATGCTTTAAATGTAGTAGCTTTGTCCTTGAAATATTTATTTTTCTACAAATAACCTAATATAATTGAAAACCAAACTTAAAAAAATATTTTCATGATCCATGCTTTCTTAGGGGTCCGCCAATTAACTGTAACTGATTGATGGTTGTAGTCTTTTAGATTTTGAGTATTTTGAGGCCAATTAACAAGCATGGGTTTTTAAAATCCCTTTCAGTACCATCATCCAAAAGATGTGTTGGGAAATAGTTAGAAATGTTGAAGTCAGGTTAAGTGTTTTATTTTTCTCTTTCCTTCATTGGGAAAAGTAAGATTTGGAAGGCATTTTTATAGGGTAATCCTTTGGACTACAGACCTAACAGTGGTATTTCTGTGTCAAAAGGTATAAATAATTTTGTACTCTCTGGGAAAAGAGTTGTTGTTCTGCAGGATGGTTACACCAGAACATAATCCAGCCAATAGTGCATTATTGCAGCAATTTTTGGACCTCTCCACCATTTATCATTTTCATTTTCATATTAGTAAATCTGATGGAAATGAGGTGGTATGTTAGAGTTGTTTAATTTTCATTTCACAATCAATAGTGATTTTAAAGTATTTTATATTGCTATTAATAGCTTTGTTTTGATCTTCTGAAAACTGTCTGCTCATATTCTTTGACCGTTTATCAGTTGGAGAATCAGTTGGCTTCTTCATGAATTTGAATGTTACTTATATTTTTGTAAAATTAGGCCTTTATCCTCAGAGTATCTTGCTATGATTATTGCCTGGTGTCCTGCTTTCTTTTTACTTATGGTCGCATTGACTTTGTGCAAAGTCTATTTGATTTCATGTGATCAAATTATCCACTTCACTTCTCATAAATTTCTTTCTCATGAAAAAGGGAAAAAGACCCATATGTTCAAAAATATTTATAGCAGGTCTTTTGTGGTGGCAAAGAAATGGGAATTGAGGGCATGCCCATCAATTTGGGAATGGCTGAATGAACTGTGCTATATGACTGTGATGGGATATTTTTGTGCTATAAGAAATGACAAGCAGGTGGATTTCAGAAAAAAAACTATAATGACTTACATGAAATGATGCATAGTGAAGAGAACAGAACCAGGAGAATATTGTACACAGTAACAGCAACATTATTCACTGAGGAAATGTGAATGACTTAGCTCTTCTTAGTAATACAATGATCCAAGAAAATCTCAAAGGACTAATGATGAAGCATAGTATCCGCTTCCAGAGAAATTGATATTGTTTGAATAGAGACTGAAGCACGCTAGTTTTCACTTTCAGTTTTTTTTTTCTTTTATTAGATATTCATGTACAAAATGACTAACATGGAAATGTTTTATAGAATTACACATGTATAACCTACATCTGATTGTTTACAACCTCAGGGAGTGGGGGTAAGGAATAAGGAAGAGGTAGAATTTGGAACACAAAATACTAAATAAAAATGTTAAATATTAAAAAGAGATTAGTTTATCCTTTATTTAGTCTTGCTTACACAACAACCCCATCAGGTAAGGATAGCTAGTTTCATCAAATCCTGAATTATACATCATGTAAGTGAGGCTGAGATCATGCTACTTATGTACAAGCTTTTTATTGTCACATACTTAGAAAGCAGCAGAGCGTAACCCACTGCAATTGGTCCCTGACTCTAAGTCCAGGGCTCTTTTCATTTTTCCATACTTTTTTATTAATTAATGCTTAGAGTAGTGGAATTACATCCATAAGATCAGGCTCCTCATTAAAAACAAAAATATGGTCAATAAGAGAAATTGTCTCCAGAGAGTAGAGTAGGGCAAGGATCCTTTCTATTTAAGAGCTCTGGCTTCATTCAACTCAACCACCTTTTTAAATGGGAGTTTGTTTATTATGACTTGGCAATGTTTCTAAAAATTATTAGTACTTAAAGAAGAGGCCATATAATACAGTGGGAACAATGTTGAATGTGAACAGAACTGTGTTCATTGGAAATTAGAAACTTATTAGTAGTTTGACCTTGGACAAATCACTTTTATTGCATGAGATTCAATTTTTTCCTCTGTAAAATCAGTATAGTTATGCCTATAGCACTAATATAAAAAAACAACAACTTCATGAAATGGAATTGAATGAGAGAAGGGATGTTTTCTAAAAACCATAAAGCACTACATAAAAAGCAGCTAAATTTACACAACATTTTGTTATATTAATGAAGGATACCATCTGAATATGATTTTATCCCAACAAGAAAAGGTAAGTAAGCTATAGTCTATATTTCTAACTTTAATATCCCTCCCTTTTGACTAGAGCTTGTTGTGATTAGTTGATTTCTAAGCTCTCTGATGCTAGAACATTTGAAGATCTTACTCAGAGACCAAGATTCAGTAAGGACAAAGGAAGCATTCACATGAAATTCTAATAGCAATCTCCTATCCCAGAGAAGGTTTATGATGTGCAAGTACTTGTGTTATGTAGTTGTGAAGCACTGTTAGATGAAACAAAACCATCGACAAAAAAGCATTTCAAAAAGAAAAAAGCTCTCTCTTTCTCTTTCTATCTCTCTTTGTCTCTCTCTCTGTCTCTGTCTCTCTGTGTGTCTCTGTATCTCCCTGTCTTCTTGTCTCTCTGTCTTTTTCTTTCTCTCTGTTTCTCTTTGTCTCTGTCTTTCTGTCTCTGTCTCTCTCTGTTTCTGACTTTCTGTCTCTGGCTCTCTGTTTCTGTCTCTCTGTTTTTTTCTCCCTCCTTCCCCTTGCTCCCCCCCCCCCCAGGTGACTATTCTCTCATTATTGCTATTGTTATATGCATGTGTTGAGTTAGAATAGGTTAAACAATGTACTAAAAATGAGTATGAGATATAAAGGAGGACATTTATTTTGGCTAATCATTCTTTGCTTAGACTTAAAGGAATGATGTTATTTTTAATGTGAAGCAAGTAGTTCTAAAGGTCTGGGGAAATTCAGGTAGATGACCTGCTTAGTCCCATAGTGTCCTTTAGATATTAAATATGTTGACCAACACATTTCTCCTGTGAAATGACTAACCATCTATATCTATATACCAAGTGAGGAGCTCCCTACAACCCAAATGTATACTGTTCATAGGAAAAAAAATAATCATTTTTGTTAAAATATTTCTTTTAGCAAGGATTTTACGAATAAGACTTTTCTTGTCCACTTCAATTTTATTTTTAAAAACTGTCAGCTTTACAGGGGTGAGACTAGGGCAGAGAGATTATTGAAACATCATTTTCTTTTCTCTTTTGATATGATTTAGGGTGATGTTAGGTGACTCTCTGACACATGGAACCAATAGAGCTGATGTTCTGTGTTCTGTAACTACTTCTCTTTCCACTTTATTGGTGACTATTGTGTTTTATATTACAGACATTGCTGGTACAGATTTCATCTCTAAACCCACAGTCATTTTCATAGGATGTCATTTATCTGATCTTAGTATCTAAACCCACTCTTTATCACATCCCAAAGCTACCATGATTTGGTGGTTACCTGGGCTTTTCCAGGCACTCTGCCTTCCAATGACTCAAAAGACCTAGATGTTGAGAGACACACATTTCCCCAGCTTACGTAAAATGCAAGACCTGCCACAAAGAATTTTACTCTGCAGGAAATTTATTTCCACTGGACATAGATTATCAGATCAGAACCAAAAGTGTCTGCCTAACCAGATCTGAACGTACAAATGAGCAAAGAATAGAACGAATTGATTAGAAAATGATGTCATTCTCTGATGATTATGTTTACATTTTAAAATATTTGACATCAAAAACTTTTTTGTAGTATCAATAAATTATGCTTTCTACATCAATTCCAACTTCTAAGGTTTCTTATTGAGAGTAGAACAAGAAAAAAATATTTTTTGAAGGTGGGGTCGGTTTCGTGCTTCCTCAGTAATAATGACTACAATAATAGAGTCAGAATATTTAGAGCTAGAAATGATCTCATAACTCAAAATATGAAAAAGAGGATTTAGAAGGGATATTTAATATTGAATATAACATTTTCAGTATATTAAACATCTCTAAATATATACTATAGATCATCAGTACTTAAAACCGGGACTCTGAAAACATGACATTATTTCAAATATAGGACAAAATTATAACCAAGCATGTAATATATAACATAAAATTTCCAAACTGTACATTTTAAAAATAAATAATAGTCTTAAAGTTATCTTAGTCATTATCTAATCTACCCTGTCCACTTGTCTTTTCAGAAATCAGGTCCTAGTGAGAAACAAATGACTTTCCTATTATGAATTATTATTTAAAAGGTAGAATATACAGAAAAAATGGCAGAGAAGAATCTTACTCTCATAGAAGAATTTATTCTCTTAGGATTTTCTGAACTTCCCAACTTTCAAGGATTTCTCTTTGTTGTTTTATTAGTCATTTATGTAAGTATCCTATTAGGGAATGGTCTCATCATTGTAATCAGCAATATGGAACCTGCTCTCCAAATACCCATGTATTACTTCCTTGCAAACTTCTCCTTTGTGGAAATTTGTTACACATCAGTTACCCTCCCCAGAATGCTTATGAATATTTGGAGACAGAAAAGAAATATTTCTTTACTGTTATGTGCTGTACAACTGTGTTTCTTCCTTATTCTGGCAGTCACAGAGAGCTTCCTCCTGGCAGTGATGGCCTATGATCGTTACGTGGCAATCTGTAAGCCCCTTTCCTATCTTCTAATCATGAACCACAAGATGTGTTTCCAGATGGTGATTGGCTCCTGGGTCACTGGAATTCCAGTCTTAATAGGGCAAACGTACCAAGTTTTCTCTGTACCTTTTTGTGGTTCTAACAAGCTCAATCATATTTTCTGTGACATGCCCCCACTTATGAAGTTGACATGTGGAGACACCTCTGGGGATGAATTCTTTATTTATTTTGATTGCGTCCTGTTTGGTTTGATTCCCTTTCTACTGATACTCTTGTCTTACATCAGAATCCTTAGCACTATTTTGAAGCTCCCATCAACCACTGGCAGATATAAAGCCTTCTCTACTTGCTCTTCTCATCTTATTGTTGTATGCTTATTCTATGGTTCAGGTTTCATTGCATATCTGCAATCCAAGTCCAGTTACTCAGGCACAACAGATAAGATCTTCTCCCTATTCTATATCATTGTGACCCCAATGGTTAATCCAATGATATATAGTCTGAGGAACAAGGACTTCATTGAGGCAATGAGAAAACTATTTTCTAAATGTGTAGGGTGAAGAATAAAATAATTTAACTTCCATATTATTTTATCCTGAGCCATTTCCCAAGTTTTTCTTCCTTTTTTTCTGTTCTATATGCCTTTCAAATTCTTAATATTTTCTCCTTGTTATTTTAAATCATTTGGCATTCCTCTTCTCAATCCCTCCATGATATCACATATTTTTTATGTGTAATCAAAGAACAAATTTATTTTTGTTGTCATTGTGGTTGCTGTTTTCACACAATATTAGTAAGGGACTACCTTTCCACCAAAAGTGTAAGATTAAGGGAGCTAACTGATGCATTGGATTGAACACTGGCCTTAGAGGCAGGGGGTCCTAAGTTCAAAGACAGCCTCAGAAACTGATTAGCTCTTTGACTCTGAGCAAGTCACTTAATCCTGAATGCTTCCAAAAAAAGTGTGAAGTCACTCTGACCTCAGTAATTCAAACCAAAGTCATGCAGTGTCTATAACAGGAACTTACATGATGACAATAATAATATCTTGAAGTACCATGACTACAACTACAACCTGAGGCTATTGAGAGATGTTATTTAAGTATGTCAGAAAGCTTCTTGTCCTATCTACATCTTTTTCTTAGTGTTTCTAGATTGAAATGAGAATATTATCAATTTTCTTCAACCTGAAATATTGAAAATGTCAATTAAGCCATGGAATGTGTGATTAGGTTGCATTGTACCAACTTCCTTGTAAATTGGAGACATACTTATTCACTAATAAATGTGACTTCTTTTTTTTATGTCTTTTTGTTGGAAGATACACATGGCTGGAATTGGGAAATAGGAACCTTATCTCATTTCAGTGTAGTGCTCACAAGATTTGCAGATCCATTGAATAATTTTGTCAATTAATATTATTCAAATGAACCATTGCACATCTGTTTGTTTACTTTTGAGCTAAAATACTGAGAAAGAAAAATGTTGTTTTTCTAAACAGTAGGTTTTGGAGAAGTGTCTTTTCTATCTTGATTTTGGTCAAATTGCTCTGTGTGTGTGTGTGTGTGTGTGTGTTTTTAACATATATATATTATTGGCACAAGATGATCTAAACCTCTGTCAGAAGCTTGCAAATGTCAGACCAAAAGAGAAGTTAGTAGAGTATTTCTTAGATTATAGCATTTAGGAGTTGGACTATGCTGAAAGTTTGCAATTTCCAAGCTTAATCCACCCCCGAAAATCTTGAAGAAACTGGAGACCACAGAATATAAAATAAGAAAAACATAAACCAAAACATAGAAAATAAAAAAAAGAAAACCAACAAGGTATTCTTTTCAAAAGTGTGCAGAGCCTGATCCAGATAAAAAGTCGAAATATAGAAGACATTCTTGAAAAATAAGCTAACTAAAAAAAAAGAACTTGCATGACCTAGGACTCATCTCACTGATCACCAAAGGAAAACAAAAAGAGAAGAAAGTGACATTAAAGTACTTTAAGCAAAACTGTGAGAAGACAAGACTTGTTGACTTCAACTTCAAATAAATTTCTTAGAATAAATGACACAAGAAAAAATATTTTTGAAACAAAAATAAAATATAACAACACCATAAATAAACAATATTTTTGAAAAATATAATCAATTCTTATTAAAAGGGAGCAGGAATGGTAACAGATAAAATGTGCTGAGACAAAAGTTTTTGGACAAAATACAATATAGGCAATTGTTTTGATTCATTATGGCAATCAAAAAAATTCTTTTTTTTCAATGTCAGAAGAGTTGATATGGTGAGATGGAAAATATTTTTAGTTGAGAAAGTTTAAATTAAAAATACTTTTTAATAAAATATAATTTTTGAGGTAATTTAAATTTAAAGAAAATTTTAATTTAAATTATAGTAATTAAAATTAAATTTATATTTAAATTTTCAAGTGAAACAAAAGTTTAAATAAAAGTCAAATGATTTTATAAATAAAGGTGAATACTAGAAGAAAGAATTAGAAAAGTAAATGAAGCTTTGGATTCTTTAAGTACTGGAAAGAAGAATTAAATATTTTGTATGAAAGGTACAAAATTATATGAAAGTAATAAACTCCTTCCAATGTACAATGGGGAAAAGATAAGCAACTGAATTTGTGAGAAATAAAGATATATTAAAAATAGACAAATGCACAAAAAATAATATATTGAATGTCATTTCAAATGCAAAAATATGTTAGCTGAAAAGCAGATAAAAGATAGAGAATTGAGGAACTTTTAGACTACGCAATAAGTAGGACAAAAAATGAGCCAGGATGTCATAATTTCTGAAATCAGGAAAATGAAATCTGAAGAAGTAATGAAAAAAAATAAGCTGACAAACAAAATATAAGAATTTTGGTCATACATTTAATGTAGTACTCAATAGTATTCAAATATCTCAAAAAACATTATCAGATTAGAAAAACAGACAAATAATGAAGGAAATATGTATTCAGTATTTTAGGTAGTCAAACTCTTTTTTTTGTTTGAAAATAGAATTAGATGATATATTGAAAATTAAAGGAAGAATACAGAGAATTTGTGTATATAGCTTGTATTTAACAAAGCACTGGATAAATTATTTCATAATATTTTGAAGATATAGAGAATGGATTAGCAAAAGTTAGATGTATTGAGAAATGATTGCATTGCATTTTTAGATCAAATTTACAAGCTTCTTGTAAGTAATACAGTGATGTCCTTTGCTTTCACCTTCACAGGCAAACAAGTTTGAACTTATTAAACTCACCCTTCTGACATGTTCAGACCACTCACACAAATTGGAAAGCACAACCCTTGACCCCACTCACAGAAAGGACTTGAATAATATAGCTCAAGGACTGTAATTAGATACCTCTCTTGCCAAGTGATGTTGTTGTAATAATTTAAACATACATATACATATATATGTACATATATATGTATGTGTGTATATATATACATATATACACACACATACATACATACACACACACATATATATGTATATATATATAAAACTGTTTACCCTGCTTGCAACAAAGTTGTTTGTATACTTGAACATACTGTATGTTAAAATGAAAAGAACAAAGCAAAACAAAGCGAATCTCAGTGTCATGTAAAAAAATAATAATAAATTTTTTCCTAGGACCCATCACTCCATCTTTCAAACAAAAAGAGAGATGCGGTAGTGAATGCAAAATTAAAACTGTTTCATAATTTTAGGTTATGACTGCCAGGAAGGAAGATCTTCTGACTCTTTAAAGTCTTATTTCCTCAGCCTTCAGGTACACCATGGATTTGATATGACTCTTAATTTCTTGTGCTGATAGTATGTATAAGTCTCGTGTTGACAAGATAGATAGATAGATATAGATATAAATATAGATATAGATAGATAGAATATGGATCTATCAATAAATGGATAAAGTTATATAGACATCTAGATAGAGATATTATATAAAAGCTTGTGAACTAAAATCCAGGATTCATGGCTAGAATTGAAATAAAAATGTGGTACCTTGTGTCTTTGACTTCTTGCTGTTGACAGTGTGTTGCCTAAGGAAAGGTTGCTAGGGGTCAGTCTGGGTCTTCCATTTGCCTCAAAACAACTGCTTCCTCCCATTGGCACCAGCACAAGCAACTTCCATCTCTAGCTGCCAGTCCAAACTCCCAGATGAGATATGGAGACTCTCCGGTGCAAAGAACAGCCTTCCTTTCACTTCAGGATTCCCATCTCCTGCTTTACCTGTACTTTGATGCTAGAAGAGTGATGACCTCCACTCAGTAATGAACATTCTCACACTTGGTCATAACCTTCACATCCCACGTACTCTGAACTCCTGTAGGTTAGCCAAATTCCATTCCACATTCCCTATCACCCAATTGCCCATTTCAATCCACCTCCACCCCAAAACTCAACCAAAATTCCTCTCTCCAAAACTACTAATGATCTCTTATTTGCCAAATTCAATGACCTTTTCTCAAAACTCATTCTCTTTAACCTCTTTGCAGGCTTAGATGCAATTGATCACTCTCTTTTCCTTGATACTCTCATCCCCCTAGATTTTTGGGATACCACTCTCTCCTGTTTTTCCTCTACATATCTGTTTTTTCTCTATATTTTTACTGTATCCTTTTCCAGATCATATCCTCTAACTATATGTATCCCTCAGTATTTTATTTTGGGCCATCTTCTCTTCTTCTAGTACTTCACTCAGTGATCTCATCAGCTGTGATGTATTTAATTGCTATCTTTGTGCTGATGTTTCTCGAATACACCTGCCTGCCCCAAACTCTCTGCTGACCTCAAATCTCACACCTGCAATAGCCTTCAAACATCTATAATTGGATGTCCAGTAGACATCTTCAACTCACCATGCCCAAAACAGAACTCATTATCCTTTCCCCTGACCCCCCACACATCTACCTTTCCTATTACTGTAGAGGACAACAGCATCCTACAAGTCCCTCAGGCTTGTAACTTAAGAATCATATTAAGATTTTCACTACCTCTCACCCCTCATATTTAATCGCTTGTCAAGGCCTGCTGATTTTCTCTTTGCAACATCTCTCATATATGCCTTTCCTCTCTTCTGACACTGTCACCACTCTAATTCTTATCCTCAGCTCGTACCTGGATTATTGAAATAGACCACTCTGCCTACCTCATGTCTCTCCTCGTTCTAATTCATCCTCCATTCAGCCATGAAAGTGATTTTCCTAAAACATAGGTCAGTTCATGTCTCCCTCTGCCCCCACCCATAAATGCCAATGGATTCCTATTGCCTCCAGGAATGAATACAAAGTTTGGCTTCAAAGTCCTTCATACCCTAACACCCTCCTGTGTTTCCAGTCTTTTTCATACATTACTCCCTAATACATATTCTTTGAAACAGTAGCACTGGCCTTCTGATTCTTTCATGAACAAAACACTCCATTTCTTTGATAAAGGCATTTTCTCTGATTGTGTATATATACACACATACACACTCATATACATATACATATATATACACACACACAGATATCTATGTATGTATCGATATCTATGTATGTATC